CTCCCGTCGAAGAGCCAGTTATTGGTTGGCAAGCACCTAAGACTGCAATTCTTGCATTCCCAGTCACTATGTAGTTTTTCCCATATCTCACGAGTTGTCTGTTGTGTTGTGTGTGTGTGTGTGTGTGTGTGTGTGTGTGTGTGTGTGTGTGTGTGCGTGCGTATGTGCGCGGGTGTGTGCGCATGTGTGTGTGTGTGTGTGTGTGTGTGTGTGTGTGTGTGTGTGTGTGTGTGTGGCTTTGCATGTTGCCATCAGGTGAATATACCCTCCAGAGTCGAGCTTCAGCTTCATGTGTGCTTTTGTGTGTGCCAGGTCTGAAACAATTTCAGCCCCAGTTTTGTGGTCTCTTAGATGCTGATTCAAGAGTATTCTGAAAGGATGGATAATTGTATCTTTTCTCTTCCAGTTTGGATAAAAATAGAACAAGGGTATTACATGAGTGTTAATGGTTACAGTATTTACAGGATTGTTAGGCCCACACCGACTTTCCCAACAGTGGCAGCGGTGTCTCGCGTGGGACGGTCACAGGAGACCCACTATTTCTTTAGGAGTATAGGGACAAGGGTACTTTTGGCCTCACCTCTGTTTTTAATTCTTGGAGCTAAATAGAACTATGGGTACCCCCCTCCCCCCAAAAAAAGGAGAACTATGGGTAGCATTGGGTACCTAAATTCCAGGACCATGATAAAGGTGCATGTGGGCTGGTTGTGTTTGTGCAGTGGCTTTCTTCCTGCATTGGCAGGAATTACTCATGTCTGCATTCAGTTTCCTATCTATGAGTATTTGAAGCAGCGCCTTGCAGAGAAGAGTACGTATGATGTTTCTCATGCACTGTTCTGTTACTCAGTGGAATCACGTGTCTTTGGTAAATCTTCCCCCCCTTCGCCCCCAGCAATTCTATGTTTCCTTCCATGTGTTTATTTCTGCACAATGGCTCACTTCCTGCATGAGCAGGAATATCGAATCTATGCTCAGTCTCGATGCTATCAGCTCCAAAATCAAATGCCTTGGAGACGGGACTGTGCAACTCTTCACCGGTCTCTGCCCTGATTCTTTTGCTCTAGCAGATGCTGGCCCTTGTTCCTGAAATGATACATAAGCAGGGCTTTCCAATAGCTCATGAAAACCTGCTGTTGTGTGTGTGTGGGTGGGTGAGGGTGCTGTGAGAGGGGTATAGAAGGGCATCACAGGTTTGTCGTGTGTGTCTGTGCCACAGAGACAGAGACAAACACACTCACACACACACACGCACACACACACACACACACACACACACACACACACACACACACACACACACACACACACACACAGAGAGAGAGAGAGAGAGAGAGAGAGAGAGAGAGAG